GCCTGTAGAGGGTGACTTCTGTAGAGTTCACTGTAGAGGGCAACACATGTGCATGTTGCCTGTAGAGGGTGACTTCTGTAGAGTTCACCTGTAGAGGGCAACACATGTGCATGTTGCCTGTAGAGAGTGACTTCTGTAGAGTTCACCTGTAGAGGGCAACACATGTGCATGTTGCTTGTAGAGGGTGACTTCTGTAGAGTTCACCTGTAGAGTTCACCTGTAGAGGGCAACACATGTGCATGTTGCCTGTAGAGGGTGACTTCTGTAGAGGGCAACAATTGTGCATGTTGCCTGTAGAGGGTGACATCTCTAAAGGTCACCTGTAGAGGGTGACACGTGTATGTTGCCTGTAGAGGGTGATATATAAGCAATGAAAGAAAAAACATGTGGGGATGCCACACTCAGAGGGCGATATATCAGTAATACAAGCGTGCATACAGAATTATAAATCAGCCCAGCAGAATCATGTGATAAATTTACATACACGACACATTACAGTTGTTCTATAACAGGCACCTACCATTATTATTACCATATTAATCTTGGAAAATTTGTTGCCCATATTGGATGTTGGTTATTTTTAGTAAATAAAAAACTATCACCATCCCTCACAATATGTGGAAATGACACGCATGTTATCATCTTGATTTTTTTCAGGAACTTCTGAGACAGAAAGAAGAAAGAATTGAAGAACTTTTGAGCAATAAAATTGAAATTGAGAATAGTTTGAGGGAAAGAAAACAGGAAGTGGATAACTTGCAGACTGCTGTTATCACACAGGTAACTGAAATTCAGTCGTTTATGGCTTTTTTTTATACAGTTGCTATCAGTAATCCATGAAGGCTTTCAGCTGTTGATGTGTTAATAATGACTGAATTGCAACAATTGATTTCTCAACAGTTTTAATTCTGTGTGAAAATGCTTGATATACATTCATGCATTTGCCTATTGCTAGACGTCTGTACTCGCTTAGCACAATTATGAGTATTGTTTATTTATTAGAAACATTGAATAACAATAAAGTAATCCAAAATTGTGTGTGTCTTTTTTTTCCCAGAACGAAACAGCTGAAAGTACAGCATCAGAGGTAGATATTTTGAAAAAGACACTTCAAGAACTGGAAAGACACAAAGCCACAAATGAAGAACAGTTAGCAAAACTTGGGCAAGAGCTTTCAGATATAACGACAGAAAAAGGACATTTAGATGAAAAGCTGGTGGAAAAACAACACATATTGGTAGATACTGCCGAAAAACTCAGACAAAGAGAAATGGAAGCAACTACTTGGGCGGAAAACTTTGCAGGCAAAGAAACTGAAGTAGCAGAGCTGCAAGTACAGTTAGGGAGTGTCCAAGAGAAAGTGAAGAACATGAACACGCACATTTTAGAATTGGAAAATGCATTGGACACTTTGCAGTCTGAGTTGGATGAAGCCAACAAGTCAATTGAAGATGAGAGGAATAGATTTAACGGAGATAAATCAGAGTATGAAAGAATTATAGAGCAGCAAAATAAAGACATTGAAGAACTACATCTAGCAAGAAAAAATGATAGTAATGCTGCAGATGAATTAAAAGAAAATGTTAGACTATTGGAAAGTGAAGTTCAGAAGCAGAAGAACCAATTTGAAAAGAAGGTTCAGGACATACAGCATCTGAGTCAGGAATTCCAGGAGTTGGAGCTGAAAATGAGTAGTACCAATCGTGAGATTGAAGTCCTTCAAGAAAGTCAGTCTGTCGAAGGTGTAAAAGTTGAATCGAAAATCACTTCACTATTGGAGCAAATCAGTGATATAGAAAAAGAGTTGATGCAACAGCAGAACCGAAATCATGATCAGGAGCAAGTCATAGCTAAGTTGAACACTGACCATGAGAAGTTGCAACAGCAGCTGCATGAGAGAGATACCCAGTTGAAAGGTGTTCAAGAACAGCTCATTCATACGCTGCAACTTGTTCAAGACAAAGAAACAGGTTACCAGGAGCAGTTGAAAACTGCCAAAGAAGAGTATCAGAGTTTAGAAGATAATAACAAAGAACATGTGAATAATCTTGCCAGTGAAATTGGCACGTTAACAGCAGGATGTGAGAATCTGCAAATACGACTGGAAGAAATGCAGATGGAACATGCGAAAAAAGAAGATGCTTCAATGCAGGAAATTAATCAGCTGCAACAGAAACTGAAACAGGAACAGGAAAAACATCAGGCGATGCTGAACCGTTCATCGACTCAGTTACTTAGCCTTCAAGATGATTTAACAAGTGTGAGCAAGCAGTTAGATGATGAAAGGAAACACTTCAATAACAAAGAAGGGAACCTGTTGTCAGAGCTTGACAGTTTGCAAGAAAAATTGTCTATGTCACAGAAAGATTTAGATTTGTTGCAACAAAAGCTGGTTGAAACAGATTCAAACTCAGCAGAAAAAATATCAGAGTTGGAACAACAAGTTTCAGAGAAAGAAAAAAGATCACTGCTTCAACAGGAAGAGAATAATGAAAGTATTACAAAACTTAATTCAGAGATGGAAAAGCTGCAGCAACAATTTCAAGAGGAGCGCAGCCAGCTTCACTCACAGGAAAGGGAAACTAAGCGATTGCAGCATGATTTACAGGAAAAAGAAACCTTATTGCAATCACAAGAAAAAGGTGTTGAAGAATTGCAGTTACGAATTCAAGAGAAGGAGAACCAGTTGCAATGTGAAAGGGAAGAAGTTGCACTCTTGCACCAAAACCTGGAAGAAAAAGAGGAAGTTTTGCTGTCACAGAGGGAGGAAGTGGACACACTGCACAGAGAAATTCTAGAGAAGGAAAGTATGCTGCAATCACAAAAGGGAGAAATAGCAAAATTGCAGCAACAACTGATTGAAAAAGAAAACATGCTGTGTCTGCAGCAGGAAAAAATAGAACAACTGCAGAGTCAGCTGCAAGAAAAAGTCACCCTCCTGCAGTCACAGGAAGATGAGGTACATCGCATGCAGTTGGAGCTCCAAGAAGAACAAAATATGCTTCAGTTGCAGAAGGAAGAGATAGAAAATGTTCAGAAGAAGTTGATAGAAAAAGAAAGTCTTTTGGAAGCTGGAAAACACTGTATAGAAAATCTTGAACACCAGTTGCAAGAGAAAGACAATATGTTGCACTCACAAAAAAATGAGATGGATGTTGTGTTGCAGGAAAAATTAGCTGAGCTGTCAACTCTTCAAAAAGAAATTGTGATGCAGCAAAGTTTGGTCGATGAGAAAAATAAAGATATTGACACATTAAGAAAAAGGGCTGAAGATTTGGAAGACACTATTCTGTCAGCTGATGACAGCAACAGTACTCTTCAAACTCAAATTCAGACTTTACGAGAAGAAAGAAATGAAAGCTTCTCAAAGTCAAAGCAGTTAGATGCTAACTTGCAAGAATTGCAGCAGCAACTAACGATGGTCCAAAAAGAACTTTCAGTAGCACAAAATGAAATTTCATCATTGCAGAGTCAGTTAGAGAAAAGTGAAAACTGTGTTCTAATGTTAAATAACTCAATTGCCGAAAAAGAAGAAGACATGACAAGATTTAAACAGGAACGTGATGCTCATGATATCAAAGTTGCAGAAGATATGCAGAATTTGCTAGATGAAAATTTGAAAAAACATCAAGAGTTACAGAATGAGCTTGAGAATCAAACTCAGTTTATGTTACAAGAAAATGCAACAACGGAAGAACGACACAAGCAACAGTTATGTGAAATTGCCTCATTGAAAAAGACATCAGCAGAGATGTGTACTGAAAAAGAGATTCTTCAGAAAACTGTTGAAGATAATTTGCAGAAAATTTATCAACTCCAAGGAGAGGTGAAAGAAAAAGAGGAAGAGCTGGGTCAGATCACAGTGTTGACACATCAATTGCAAGCACAGAATCAAGACATGGAAGCCGCAAATAGTCAGATAAAATCTCACTTTAATCAACTAGAAGATTTGAAACTACAGACTGAAGAGCGTGCCAAGAATGTCGCTTCAGAGCTGACACAAGCCACAGCAAAAGTTAACCTGCTAGAAGAACATCTCCTCGAGCAGCAACAGATGTTTGAGAACACCATTGGAGAAATGCGCAACCAACTGATGGATGAGAAAGTTAACATAGAGGAGAAAGAGAAAGAGGTGGATAAGGTGCATAATCAGCTGATGGCAGTGATGGTGGAGAAAGATTCATTAAATACTGTTATCAAAGAGAAGAATGATACAGTTGAGGAAATAAGAAATCAATTAAAGGCTTTGATAACTGAAAAAGAAAATTTGAGTGCTATTTTGGAAGAGAAAGTACAGGAAATAGAACATAAACATAATGAAGTGTTGTCAGCTACTTCTGAAAAGGAATCTCTGATTGTGACAATACAAGAGAAAAACGAAGTCATAAAACAAATGAATAAACTTATTGAGGAGAAAGAATACACTATAGAGCAATTGAAAAAGCAACTAGAATTCCTAGAGTCGGAGAAAGAAGGGCTGGAAAGAAGTGTTGATGAAAAAGAACAACTCATAGATCAAATGCAGAATCAGTTAATTTCTTCAGTGGCAGAGAAGGAAAATATGCATATCATGATTGAAGAGAAGCAGAAAATGATTGCTTTGATTGAAACAAATGCTCATGAATGTGAATCTAATTTAAATGATAAGTGTAAACAACTTACAAATGAGTTGACTGGTACTAATGCCATGCTCCAAGAAGTTAGTAATGGTAAAGAGAATCTGGAGGTACAACTTCAAGAGATGCAAAACTCTGTTGAAGACTTTAGAAGGAGGCTGCAGAGCAATGTTAATGAGTTGGAGGAAAGAACATCACAGTTGAACCAACAAATACAGATTAATCAAGATTTGGCTGCACAGATTGAGAGACAAGAAAATGATATAAAAAATCATAAAGAAGCTGCCAGTCAAATGTTGAATCAAATTGAAACATTGAATCAAGATATTGCAATTAATAATGAGAAGAAACAGTCCCTGGCGAGGGATGTTGAAAGCTTCACTTTCCAACTGCAGGAAAAGAACAAAGTTATTGAAATGCTGTCACATGAAGGTTCAGAGAAAGAATCCCTTTTGAATAATGAGCTAAGTATAGCACAAGCTAAGGCTGCTCAGCTGGATAAAGATCTTGCTGCAACAACAGAAATGATGATGAACAAAATGGAAGTGATTCAACAACTTGAGGAAGAAATTCGTGGAAAAGAAAGAAAGATGATTGAGCTTGAAGACATTTTACAGAAGAAGAATGAAGAATGTGACAGAATAGAGACAAATCTAAAACAAGCAAACTTAGATCATGAAAATACTGTCTTACGTCTCAATACTGAGATCACAGAGAAGACCACTATGGTAGAACAACAGCAAGGTCAAATTGAATCATTGGTGAAGGAGATTGATGAAATACAGAATATGTTACAAGAAGAAGAAAATACAAAACAAACTGAAATCCACAGTCTTAATGAGGAACTGCAGGTCTCTATGTCTGCCATTCAGACCCTGAAATCAGAAGCTACTGAAAAACAAAACATAGTGATTGCTATAGAAAAACAATTCCAAGAAAGGGAAGAGCATTTTCAGTCTGAAATGATGGCACATGAGACAAAAATTGTGGAGTACGAACATGAACTGACTGAGTTAAGGGAGGGTCTTTCAATAAAGGAAAATGAAAAGTGTCAATTTGAACATCAGTTGTCTGAATCTCAGAAAGAGATAGGAAAACTAGAGGAAGATTTACGTGAAGAAAAACATCACACAAGTAAACTTGATGATGAACTGAAACGTGTTATAGTTCTTCAAACAAAATATTGAAGAGGAAAATGCAGAGAAACAAAAAGTGATGGAAATGATGCAACAGCAATATTCCGTACAATTTGCTAAACTTACAGATGAATTAGCTGCTACACAGCAGTCTTCAGACCATCAACAGAGTGAACAAAGTGGACATGTTGCAAGACTTGTTGAAGAATTGTCACAGTTGCGAGAGAGCACAGCCAAAGATATCAGTCAGTATGATGAACAAGTAGCAAAATTGTCTGAACAGCTGTCGGCCACACAGGAAAGATTGCAGGAAAAAGAAGATTATTACACTGAGCAAGTCATTAGGTTAACAGAGGAATTGACAGGCATGAATGAACAGGCCAAAAAGCAGCAAGATACATATGTGGAACAGATTGCTGAACTGACTAAAGAATTGTCAGTTGTCAGGGAAAAGGCACATGAAGAGCAGAAGCAACACACTCAACATAATACAAATCTAGTAGAGGAATTAAAGATTGCTCAGCAAAACACCGAACAAGTTCAAGATATGTATGCACAACAAATAGCAAAGCTCACACAAGACTTGGCAGGTACACAGGATGATACAAAGAAGCAGCACGAAAATTACATTGCTCAGATTGAAAAACTAAACCAATCCTTAGCTGAACGTGAACACATTATAGAAAATATTCAACAACAGTCTAGCAGCTCCCAACAGAGTTTATTAGAGGTACATAAGCAAGAAATTGTGAAACTACAAGAAGAGGTTTCTGAAACACGTCATACTTTGTCAGGTATTACACAAGAGTTGCAAGAAGGTCAAGAACGGCTGATACATGAAATTGATGCAAAGTTTCAGCTACAGGAGGAGTTGGGGAGAGTGGAAGCTGAGAAAGCCAATTTGGAGTCCAATACAATGGAACTTCAAGAGAGTATTACACTCTTACATTCAAAACTGGAGGAAATTCAGACACACTTGCATGATAAGAATGAGATTATTGAGGATTTGACACAAAAAGTAATCGATAATGAAATACAATTTGTACAAGAAATTGAAAATTTGAAGAAGAATTTGAATGATAAGGAAGTTGAGCTGAAAAGAAGCTCAGACGAAGAGAACAATCTTGCTCAGAGAGTGAATGAGCTCAACAAGATTATAGAAGAGAAAGACCAGTGCATAAAGAAACTTGAAGTAGTATTAGAAGACAACGAAAATATGATGGAAAGTTTGTCAGTTCAGCTGCATGAGAAAGACAAGAAATTGAAGGAATTGATTGAGAAACAAGAACAAGAATTGCAAGATTTTCAAGATGCTGCTGCTGTGAAGAAGAAACAATTGGAAGATCAGCTGCAACAATATGAGGAAAAGGAATTGACTCATGCCTCCCTGCAGGAGAAATTAGACTGTGTTGAACAGTATAACCAGCAACTTCGTGATGAACTGCAGACTAAACACTTCACTGTTGAAAAGTTACAACACAACTTTCAAGAATCAGAAACTAGTTGGCAGAAGGAAATGCAGAAGGCAGAAAAAGAACATAGCTACAAGGAAACAATAATACAGCAAGAACTGAAAACTTTACAAGAAAAACACAAAAGTCTGAATGAAACTATGCAATCCAAAAACCAGCTGCTGGAAACATTGGAACATGAACTACAACAAACAAAGGAAGCCATGGAAAGTTTAAAACAGCAACAAGCTGACCAGGATGAGATCATCAAAAATGAAAAAGAAGACCTGAAAATGATCCAACAAAATTTGTCAGAGAAAGAAACACTCTGTGACGAACTTACAAACCAAATACAAATGCTGGAAAGTGAGCAGAGTAAAGAGACACAGAGTTATCGAGAAGCTTATGAGAATAGTTTTAGTAAGATAGAGGAGATGGAAATGCAAGTACAAGCAAAAAATGAAATGATAGAGATACTCAAAGAACAGTTAACAGAAAAGGAAACTGATTTGGTCACATTAGGAACTAGCTTTACTGAAAAAGATAGTAAAGTTGAAGAATTGACTCATAGTTTCAGTGCGTTACAGGCGACTTTGGATGAGGAAAAGGAGAAACATGGCATTGAAATTGAAAATATTAGGAAACGCTATGCAAAGCTGCTAGAGAAGGCCAAGGAGCTTAAGGCGAAACTTGAATTAAGTTCACGGGAAAAGAATGCACTAAATGATGAAATTGAGAGTTTGAAGAAAATGCAAGGCACAGAAGACGAGGTTCATATACATCTGAAACAGGAAGTTGAGTCATTAAGAAAAGAAGTATGGGAAAAAAATGAAAAGGTGCTCAGTTTGAAGGATAATGTTTCCAAGTTTGAAAATGAAATTATTAAGCAAAAGGAGTTTGCGGAGTTGAAGGAACAAGAGGCTTCAAAGTATCAAGACAACTTAGAAAAATTAAATGAACAAATTGTTATTTTGCAGAACAACATCAGTTCGCAGACTGAAAGAGCTGATATAAGTGACAAAAAAGTTATTAAGCAACAGGAAGTAATCAAAGAACAGAGTGAAAGTATTTCCAAACTACAAAAAGGGTTTGTACTTTTAAAAGAAAAGGTGAAGTCTCAAAGAAGTGAAATCCAAGAGTTGAAAGAAACATTGAAAATGCAAGTAGAGAAGATAGAAGAACTACAGCAAGAGCTGGATAATGAAAGAGAAATTGTAAAAAAAGTGAGTGATGATCTCAAAGAGCATGTTGCTATAAAGGAAGAGTTAGAACAAACCAAACAGTATATTCAAGAGAAGGACGATCAGATGAAATGTATACAACAAGAGAAAGATGCTGTAACAGGAGAGTTAGAGGCCATACAGATAAAACTACACAACTCTGAGGATTGTGCTTCAAGGTTTGAGAAACAATATAAGGATGTGATAAAAAACATAGATGAAGTCCAAAGTCAACTTCAAGGTGCAGATAAAAGCAAGAGCAGAGACCATGAACATTTAGTTGAGAACATTGCAACACTTCGGGAGGAGAAAGAGAAGCTCGAACTGTTTCTTGAGGAACTACAGGAAAACCATGAAATGCTTCAACATGAGAAAGATAATGTGGATGAGGAGTTGAGGAAACTTGTGCAGGAAACAGATCGGCAGATTGTCGAGCTGGAGGCTACAAGAAGTGAGAATGAACACATGAAAACTAATCTTGAAACACTTCAACGTGAGAAAGATGTCATGGACGAGGAGTTAAAGAAACTTGTGCAAGAAACAGATCAACAGCAAGAAGATCTTGAAGCTGCAAGGAATGAAAGTGAACACTGGAAAACTGAGTTTGAGAAAAAGCAGGAAGAATTTTTAGAGACACATGAGGAAATAACTCGAGTGATGGGGGAATTGGCAACTATGCAGATGGAGAAAGCAGATGAAGAAGAACGCTTAAAAGCTATCCAGTTGTCTAGTGCTTCTTCTATGGATAGTGTACAAGAGATGACCAGACAGTTAAGTGACATGACAGAGGCTAAACAAGAACTTGAACAAACTTTTAATGCACAAATTAAAGAAAGAACCATGGAATGTGAAAATCTTAAAAAGAGTTTAGAGGATGCCGAAAACATTATCTCTGAGTTGCAGACACAAAAATCCGCTGTGATGGAACAACTCAAAGAAATTGAGTTGTCAAATGCCTCTTCTACAGAAGGTCAACAAGAGATGGTGAAACAGCTGGAGGATGTGACAACAGCAAAACAAAACCTTGAAATTGAATCTTCAGCAACAATAGAAAAACTTGAAAGTGCTTGTGAAGCATTGAGGAATGATTTGGAAAGTGGGAAGTCTTATATAAATCAGCTGAAGTCACAAGTTGAAGAGTTGCAGAAGGTAAAAGATCATCTGAAGCAACAATTTGATGAAACTCTTGCACGGTTAGAGACTGCACAACTTTCTGAAGAACAATTTAAAAATCAACTCGAAACATTGACCAGAGAACGTGATGAGTGGCATACAACAATGCAGGAATTAAAATATGAAATAGAGAATCTTCGTCAAAATAGTAGTGAAAGTGTTGTTGAAACAATGGATGTTAAAAATGAACTAAATGTTCTGAGAGATAAACATCGCCAAACATCAGATGAGTTATTGGCTGTGAAAAATGAACTTGAAGCTTTGAAAAGTGAGAAATCCAATGTTGCAGAAACATTGATAAAAGAACGTGATGACTGGTATACAAAAATGCAGGAGTCAAAATATGAAATAGAGAATCTTCGTCAAAGTAGCAGTGACATGGACACTGAGACAAGGAATATTAAAAATGAACTGACACTTCTTGGAGAAAAACATGAACAAACATTGAAAGAATTAGTGATTGCAAAAAATGAGGTTTCTTCTGTCACTGAAAAATTTCAAATTGTTGTGAATGAATGTGCATCTGTTAAAGATGAACTACTTTCTGTGCAGCAAAGCTGTCAAGACAAAGGACTGAAAAATGAATCTTTTATGCAGGAGTTGACAACTTTGAAAGATGAGCATCAACAAGTTTGTGAAGAAAATCAGAAACTGAAACAGAAAACTACTCTGTATCATACGCATCTTGTGAAAATGAAAAATGAATTGAAAGTTGGGAAAAATGAAAACAATCAACAACAAGCTGAACTCCAAAAAATGAAATCTCTTTTAGAGAGACAAAACACTGAAATAAAATCACAGTTAGAAAAAATTCGTGAGGATATGGAGCAAAAGAATATTGACACAAGAGACAAGTATGAGAATGAAATAGCTAGACTACGACAGGAGTTGTCAGACAAGGATGTGGAGGTTGAACACTATGATGCTGAAATAGCGGAAATGAAAAAGGATTTGACACTTATTGAAAGTGAGAAACTTGAGTGTGTGAATGAGACAGGTTCTCTACGGCGACAGTTGAGTGATGTCGGGAGTGATCGTGACACCATTGCTTGGGAGTTGAGCAGTGTTAAAGAAGAGTTGGATGAACTGAAGTTAGTTGAGGAGCAGAATAGAACATTAGAAAAAGAGTTAAATGTTGTCAAAGAACAAAATAAGGAACTTGAAAACAGATTACAACAGGAGTTGTCAGACAAAGATCTGAAGGTTGAACATTATGATGCTGAAATTGTGGAATTGAAAAAAGATTTGACACGAATGGAAAGTGAAAAACTGGAATGTGTAAATGAGATGCATTCTCTGCGGCAGCAATTGAGTGAAGTCGGTAGTCATCGTGACACGATTGCTTGGGAGTTGAGCAGTGTTAAAGAAGAGTTAGATGAACTGAAGTTATTAGAGGAGGAAAAACACACATTAGAAAGAGACTTAAGTGTTGTCAAAGAACAGAACAAGGAACTTGAAAAGAATGTTGCTATATTAAAAAGTGTGGAAGAAAATCTGATGGCTGAGCTCGAAAAACTCAAAAATATTTCACAGAAAAATAAAACGACCATCCAAGAGAATGAGGAACAATTACTGATGCTGCACTCAGAGATTAAAGAACTGAAAGAGAAAGAAGACGGCTTGATGGCCAAGGTCAGACAGACAGAGAAAAAGCAGGAAGAGATGCAGATGGAATTTCAACAACATAAAGAGTATGAAGAAAAATTAAAAGTTGAAAACAGGCAACATTTAGAGCATATAGAGACGTTAGACGATGAGATTGAAGAGCTGCAGGAAAGTCTGCAGGGCCTGGAAAGCACTGTCAAAGAAAATGAGAAACATCAGAAGCAGTTGGAGTCTGAGATTGTTCAGAGACAAGAGCATGTGGAGGAGCTTCAATCTGAGATTGAGAAGCTTGCCGAGGAGAACCGACAGTTTATGATTGAGTTTGAGAAACTTACAAATTTAAAAAAGGATATGAGAACTTTGCAAAATGAGAAAGATACCCTGCAAGACGAGTTTGAGAATTTGCAAGAACAGTATGAAACAACACTGCGGGAGAACACAGACTCGAAAAAACAAAACATTCAGTTAATCTCTGAACTTGAAAAAGTGATGAATCAACATGTTGTTGATTGCACTGAGTTGAAAGATGAAAATGTTTATCTTGAGGAAGAATTGGACACGCTTAAAAAAGAGTTAGAAAATGTGAATGAAATGAACACAATGTCCAGGATGGAAATTGAAAAGTATGAGGTTGAAGTGCAGGAACTAAGGACAGAAAACAAAGATTTGAAAAATCAAAACAATCAAATTTTGCAGCAAAAGGAAGAAATGTTGAACAACCTGAAAGAAGAATTGAATGACACTGCAGAGGAGAAAAACAGGATACAAAGTGAATTTGAGGGCGTGATGCAAGGTTACCATGGCAAAGACATAAGGTACTGTACCATTCCATGTCTACTGCCCTCTATTGATCACCGCTTTCAATTCTTTTGTTTGAAAAGACTTGTTCATGCACCTTTCAGTGGACCCACTTCATACACAGTAAACTTAATATTTAATTATGTTCAGCAAATATTGTAAACAAAAACAAATTCACTGTCTCAGTCGCCTCTGAACACACTCAATCACTGAAATCATTGTTCAGTAATGAATAAATAAACAAACAAACTATCGTCATGCATCTCAGACTTGAATTTGTTTTCATATTAAAAGCAACAAAAAATTATAACTCTTTACAGTGTTTTATTGTGTATTTTTCCATGCTATACATATCAACATATGCTTGTGGGTCAGATGCATTTGTATAAGTTTAATGTTCATAGCTGCGGCGATCTCTACCCTTTCAAAAATCACAGACAAGCTACTGTATTTATTTTTTGGGATGGAATTTGTTAGTTGATCAGCAAGCAAAACTACCGGTATCTACCAGTCGTGTGTTACTGCATACCATTGAATAACGTATTCATATTCAGTTATATAGATACATATGTATATACCGGTATGTCATGATGTTAAACCTTAGAAAAATGTTACTCTAAAATTGGTACATTCCTTCAGTACGACAATTCTAAATCTGTGGCCTGACCAGCCCAGCATTAATCCATCCTACAGTGCACCATTCTTCTCTCAACAGAGTCCAAGAACTGACGATGAAACTAACGCAGCTGATTGAAGAGAAGAACAACTTGCATTTTCAAGTCAAGAACGGAAGTCGTGGACTCCAAGAGTCAGAAAATCGTTTACTAGATTTACAGACACGTTATCAAGAGCTGGAACGTAAATATTATGAATTAGCAAACAGCCATCTTACTGAGGTAAGCCATTGTTATATATATATCGGAGAGAGCATTACTGTAACTGGCCAGGATGTGCTGTATCAATAATACCGGGTAGTCTTTCTGGACTGGAGACAGCTGTTGTGGCCCAAGGTTGTGCAGCGGAAACGCCCAAGCTTGCAAGGTGTGTTAACCGTTTGACTGTGGGCCGCAAAAGCTGTATCCAGTATATAAAGATATTAAAGTGTATTTTACAATTTTTGTAAAGCGTTTTGTTTTGATTGATGACACTATTGCTGGAGGGTAGGGGTAAGATTTTAGTTAGGGTTAGGGGTGGGGAGTGCAAAAAAACACTATGATGAACACAGACCAGCTCTTTCATAAACTTTAGAAATGTACAGGTTCC